GTCCCAGGCTAGAGTGAGTGCTGTGGCGTCAGCCTAGCTCACAGCAACCTCAAACCCCTGGGCTCAAGCAATCCTCCTGCCTCAGCCTCCCAAGTAGCTGGGACTTTGGGCATGTGCCACCATGCCTGGCTAATTTTTTGTATATATATTAGTTGGCCAATTAATTTCTTTCTATTTATAGTAGAGACAGGGTCTCGCTCTTGCTCAGGCCGGTTTTGAACTCCTGACCTTGAGCGATCCTCCTGCCTCAGCCTCCCAGAGTACTAGGATTACAGGCGTGAGCCACCTCGGCCGGCCTCAGAGTACCCATTTTGGATGAGATGCCACCTTACAAAAGATACAGCTCACATGGCTGGGCCCAGCTTACAGAGAACTATTTAAACAGTAGTCCAAAGCTGCCCTATATGCTTGAAAAATAAGCCAAAGCCTCCTGCAGCCTCAAAGCCACCCCTAAAGGAAGGAACACAATGGAGAGGCAGTTTCCCAGGAGAGGACTGGCAGGTAGACTTTACCATGATCCACGAGTCCCTGGAAATTTTCTATTGTTGCTGGTCTTTGTTGACGCTTTTTCAGGATGTGTTGAAGCTTATCCCACCAGGACTAAATGGGCATCAGAAGTCACTAAGGCCCTTTTAAAGGAACGTATTCATAGGTTTGACTTCTCAAACTCTCCAAAGTGATAATGGGAGCAGCCTTCTGTTGCCAAAATCACTCAAGAAGTATCAGGGATGTTAGAAATTGATTGGAAACTGAATTCATCACGGAAACCCCAGTCTTTGGGGAAAACATGAACGGAGGACCCCTATCAGAGACCCACACCGCCTGGATTCATCACCTTCTGGAAGACTGGAGAACAGTGGGCTTGTGAGCCCTTAGAGGACCTAAAATTACCCTTCTACAAAAGAGATATAGTAACATGAAATTATGTGCCCTATGTCAGCTCCCAGAAGGAAACGATAAACTTCCTTATACAGCCCTTGGTTTTAAAAATTTAACCCTAAACTTACCTAGAAATAGTTCTATAAACCTTCAGACAGGAGCAGGTACTGTTTGTGCACCCTTGGATATATTTTTGTCTACAGAGGCAGGAAAGAACTGCTTGGCTTATAATTGCTTAAACAGCTGGTCAATGGGGGGCACTTGTTCATTAGAACTCTCACAAACTCCCTCTTCAGTCCATAACGAGATCTGAATTGCTCATGGCACAGGTTCCCTATATTTGTTTGGATAGAAAACTAGGGAATTTTAGACGGAGATTCCATCCGGGGAGCCCCAAAGCAGTACTCCCAGGGAGACTTCCAGATGAGATGACTACTTCTTTTGGTGCACCCCACTGCCCTGCTGGGAGTGCAGCTCATCAACATCTGCTTCACAACCTTCCATAACCTTGAAAATGACTGCTAATACACTGCATTAGCAATAGCTGCTCAACAAAAATCTTTAAACTCTTTAGCTCAAGCGGTTCCTTTTTTTTTTTTTTTTTATTTGAGCAAGAGTCTTCACTCTGTTGCCCAGGCTAGATGGCCATGGCGTCAGCCTAGCTCACCAGCAACCTCAAACTCCTGGCTCAAGGAATTTCTCCTTCCTCAGCCTTCGAGTAGCTGGACTACAAGCATGTGCCACCATGCTGCTAATTTTTTCTATGTATTTTCTAGTTGGCCAATTAATTTCTTCTATTTTTAGTACAGATGAGTCTTGCCTTGCTCAGGCTGGTTTCGAACTCCTGACGTTAAGCGATCCTCCTGCCCGGCCTCCCATAGGGCTAGGATTACAGGCGATGAGCCACCGGCCCGACCTCAAACGTTCTTGATAATCTCGATAATTGCATTGCTCTTGACTCCATTCCAAACAAATAATGGTGTTCTCCCATCATGCATTACTCATTTCACCTCCAGAAAACTCCTTGACCCTGTGGTTGAGAGTTGGATTTGAGGTAGTTCATACCTACCCCTCCCAGTGGACATGTCCACTGAAATAAATCCTTTCTTCTTTGACAATCCTCATGTTTCAGTTATTGGCTGTCTTGAGGCGTGTCTGTCAGTGTTGAGGAACCCTACCCAACCTCTTCCTCTAAGAAGAGTTATGTTCTATTACTCTCTAAGCCAATCAAACTCACTTTGAAATGTGGGACTAGGAATGGGAACCAACAACAAAGAATCTCTCTTGGGTGTTCCTTACCTTTTGGATGTCCTTTATTTTTCCAGGGGGTTGGTAAAAATGGTTTCAACACCATGTAGCAGAGGCACAAAAAGAATAACCCCAAACCACTTAGAAAGGTGAATTTGTGAGGCCAGCATCCAAGAAAGCTGAGCTGAAGCTGAGCCGTGGCTCCAGTGTGTTGTTCGAAAGGCGAGAATATTCTCCCACTTCTGAATCACAGGCTGCCTGAACAACTGAGTTTGCTGAGGTGCGGGTGCTAGCTATAGTCCAGGCTGTTGTCACAGAGCCACAGAGGGTGTTCACAAAGGAGTTCTGAGGGTGGGGGAGGGACACACAGGAGGAGGGTCTGGCACCCCCACCCACTCATTCCCTCAAATCCCTTTGCCCTCCTGCCCCCTTATTCCAACTTCACCCTTTCTTCTCAATTAGTTATTTGCCTCATTGAATATTTCTGTTGCTTCTCCGTAACCCAGAAGTTACCCGAGTCCCTTTTACTTTGTGGAGCCCTTAACTTGGACCTCAAAAGGTCTGAAATACTTACCTTGGAATTTTTCTGCTTTTACCCAAGACATTTATACTTCTCAGATTTACACATATCCCAAATCCATGTTATCTCAAAATGCTTTGCTTTACACGAGCCCAGATATAAAACCTAAAGTTCGGGCAGGGCATGGAGGCTCACACCGGTAATACTAGCACTCTGGGAGGCCGAGGCGGGCGGATAGGTTTGACGATCTGGGTTTGAGACCAGCCTTGAGCAAAAGCAAGACCCCTCTCTACTTAAAACAGAAAGAAATTCATTGGCCAACTAAAAATACTATAGAAAAAAAAATTGAGTCAGGTGCATTGGTGGCACATGCCTGAAATTAGCTGTCCCTAATATTGTTTGCATAGAAAACTAGGGGAATTTTAGACAGAGATTCCATCCGGGGAGCCCCAAAGCAGTACCTCCCAGGGAGACTTCCAGATGGAGATGACTACTTCTTTTGGTGCACCCCACTGCCCTGCTGGGGAGTGGCAGCTCATCAACATCTGCTTCACAACCTATCCATAACCTTGAAAATGACTGCTAATGACACTGCATTAGCAATAGCTGCTCAACAAAAATCTTCAAACTCTTTAGCTCAAGCGGTTCCTTTTTTTTTTTTTTTATTTGAGGCAGAGTCTCACTCTGTTGCCCAGGCTAGAGTGCCATGGCGTCAGCCTAGCTCACAGCAACCTCAAACTCCTGGGCTCAAGGAATTCTCCTTCCTCAGCCTCTCGAGTAGCTGGGACTACAAGCAAGTGCCACCATGCTTGGCTAATTTTTTCTATGTATTTTTAGTTGGCCAATTAATTTCTTTCTATTTTTAGTACAGATGAGGTCTTGCTCTTGCTCAGGCTGGTTTCGAACTCCTGACGTTAAGCGATCCTCCTGCCTCGGCCTCCCATAGGGCTAGGATTACAGGCATGAGCCACCGCGCCCGACCTCAAACGGTTCTTGATAATCTCGATAATTGCATTGCTCTTGACTCCATTCCAAACAAATAATGGTGTTCTCCCATCATGCATTACTCATTTCACCTCCAGAAAAACTCCTTGACCCTGTTGGTTGAGGAGTTGGATTTGAGGTAGTTCATACCTTCCCCTCCCAGTGGACATGTCCACTGAAATAAATCCTTTCTTCTTTGACAATCCTCATGTTTCAGTTATTGGCTGTCTGTGAGGCTGTCTGTCAGTGTTGAGGAACCCTATCCAACCTCTTCCTCTAGAAGAGTTATGTTCTATTACTCTCTAAGCCAATCAAACTCACTTAGAAATGTGGGACTATACCTTTTTACTGTTAAGACTAAAAAAAAAAAAAAAAAGAAATGTGGGACTAGGAATGGGAACCAACAACAAAGAATCTCTCTTGGGTGTTCCTTACCTTTTGGATGTCTTTATTTTTCCAGGGGGTTGGTAAAAATGGTTTCAACACCATGTAGCAGAGGCACAAAAAGAATAACCCCAAACCACTTAGAAAGGTGAATTTGGAGGCAGCATCCAAGAAAGGTGAGCTGAAGCTGAGCTGTGGCTCAGTGTGGTTGTTCAGAAAGCAGAGAATATTCTCCACTTTCTGAATCACAGGGCTGCCTGAAGCAACTGAGTGCTGAGGGTGCGGGTGCTAGGCTATAGTCCCAGGCCTGTGTCACAGAGCACAGGAGTGTCACAAAGGAGTTCTGAGGGTGGGGGAGGGGACACCAGGAGGAGGGTCTGGCCCCACCCCCACTCACCATCCCTGCAAATCCCTTTGCCCCTCCTAGGCCCACTGGGTCCCTCTGCCACCCTTATTCCAACTTCACCCTTTCTTCTTCATATTATATATTTGCCTCATTGAAATTTTCTGTTTGCTTCTTCTGTAACCCAGATATTACCCGAGTCCCCTTTTACTTTGTGGAGCCCTTAACTTGGACCTCAAAAGTCTGAAATACTACCTGGAATTTCTGCTTTATACACAGACATTTATACTTCTCAGGATTACACATATCCTCAAATCCATGTTATCTACAAAATGCTTTTGCTTTACACGAGCCCAGATATAAAACCTAAATTCGGCAGCATGAGCTCACACCGGTAATACTAGCACTCTGGAGGACCGAGGCGGCGGATAGTTTGACACTGAGGTTTGAGACCAGCCTGAGCAAAAGCAAGACCCCATCTCTACTTAAAACAGAAAGAAATTAATTGGCCAACTAAAAATATAGAGAGAAAAAATAGTCAGGTGCATTGGTGGCACATGCCTAAATTAGCTGGAGAACTAAAAAATAAAAAAAATAGCTGGCCATATTCATCCTGTAGTCCCAGCTACTTGAGGCTAGCAAAAAAAAAGGATTTCTTAGAACCAGAATTTTAGTTCGTGAGCTAGCACTCACGGCCACTCACTCTAGCGGGCAACAGTAACTCGCCTCAAAAAAAAAAAACTTAAATTCTTCTACACTTATTTGTTTTATTATTGAATGGCAAATTTTTGTCTTTAAAGTCAGCCCTTTCCCATCCGAGACGTCTTCAAAAAAAAAAAAAGAAAAAAAAAAATAAAGTCACCTTTAGGCCAGCACATTGCCACCCCTGTACCTACCTTGGAGGCCGAGAGGCCGACTTGCTCCGAGGTCAGAGTCGAAACCCAGCCTGAGCAAGAGTGAACCCCCCATCTCTACTACAAATAAAAAATAATGGCAACTATAATATAAGAAAGCAAAATCAGCGGCAGGTGTGCATGCCTGTAGTCCCACTACTGGAGGCTGAGGCCAGGAATTGCTTGGCTCGAGTTGAAGTTGCCTTGTGACAGCTGACGCCACAGCCGCACCTAGCCTGCAACAAAGCAGAGCTCTGTTCTCCAAAAAAAAATAAATAAAAATAAAGTCAGCCTTTACTGTTTTCAATCAGAGGGGCTGACTCAAATAATTAAAACTAATAATTCATTATTCAACATCCACAGAAGTAAAATAAGTATAAAATAAATGTATGTAATTAAAACTTCAAGTGATTTTGGTGAAAGGGTGAATGACCCAAAGGACACATGTCACACACAGGCTCTGTGGGAGCAACAGGGCTGGTTTACTCACCTGGGTGCGGGTGGGCCGAGTCCGAAAAGAGAGTCAGCACAGAAGGGGGTTAGTGAGGGTTTTTATCAATGGGAATAGCCCACCCCCCATCCTGCCCTGTTCAGTTCTTTGTTTCTGGGCCCAACTGGCAGGTGAAGAATTGCTTCCTGCTACGTGTAGCAGGGGACGGTGGGCAGAACAGCTGTTTGTAGCAAATTTTTCTCTTTAAACAACCAACTCCTACTACCCCTTTGCCCCAGTCACATCCATCCTTCTGCTCTGGCGTCGTCCTTATCAGGAGAGCTAGGGAGGGATAGCCTTGGCCTCTATCAGCCAGGGAGGGGGAAGGAACGCTGGCTGTAGCCTTCCGATCTACAAAGTCCCGGGACTCTGCAGACTCCTGTGGCTATTGTTTTACAAGTCTAAGTTTTGTATTAACTACATTCTGTCCTATACATACTTCTCTGGTTCCCACCTGGAATCAACCTAACTTTTGGGAATGAACTTATAGCACTTGTTTCTCTGAAGTTAGTGAAGCTTAAACTGTACAAAGACTTTTGGGACATGCTCTACACACACACACACATGCACACACCCTCTTGACACATCAGTCCAGTATTTTCAAATCTAGGAATCAATCTTTTCCTCCTTTTATTTTGATCTTTCATGCATTATATTGACCACACTATTTCTAACCTTTTCCTGAAATACCGATAGTCCCAGCCCTCTACATCAATTTTGTGTAACAGTTCTGTGACTCTCACAAGCCAGGCATAGGTCACAGAGTGCTAAGCTTATTGACTCCTTCGGTCCTTGGTGGCAGGGTAGGACCTAGGAATGTCAAAACCTTAGAGCAGGCCGGGCGCGGTGGCTCACGCTTGTAATCCTAGCACTCTGGGAGGCTGAGGCAGGTGGATTGCTCAAGGTCAGGAGTTTGAGACCAGCCTGAGACCCATCTCTACTATAAAAATAGAAAGAAATTAATTGGCCAACTAATATATATATTAGCTGGGCATGGTGGCATGTGCCTGTAGTCCCAGCTACTCGGGAGGCTGAGGCAGCAGGATCGCCTGAGCCCAGGAGTTTGAGGTTACTGTGAGCTAGGCTGATGCCACGGCACTCACTCTAGCCTGGGCAACAAAGCGAGACTCTGTCTCAAAAAACAAACAAACAAAAACAAAAACAAAAAACCTTAGAGCAGAATCTAGCCTTAAGCAGCCTCACCTGATTATCCTATGGGCCATGACAATGTGATCTTTTCCTAAGAATGCCTTGGCTCAAACGCATACACATACACTCACAAAACTTGAAAAGATCTGCTCTATACAATCACCCCTGCAAATGTCCAAATATCAACTGATATGTCACACTTTATTCAGGCTCTTCTTGTCAGGTTTAAATAATTCCAATAACCCTCCCACCCCTTTTCAAGTGAATAGAGAGAAGCGATAGTAAACTGTCTATACAGTAGCATGAGATATGATTTTCCCTCAAATCGATCGATTACTTGTTTGCCTTCTAGTGTTTCAAATAACCTTTCTTCTACTG